GACTGTGCATCATGAGGGACGTGGCCTACCCCCGATGCCATGGCTGATGAAGCCATATACTGAACACCTGGACCCTAGCAGGGACCTATTTAATGCCTGCCTGAACCATGCTCGGATCCAGGTCGAGTGCACCTTCGGCCACCTCAAGGTGCATTTCAGGTGCCTGCTGACCCACCTCATCATTGGGGAGCACAACATCCCCGAGGTGGTAACGGCATATTGTGTCCCCCACACATTGTGGAGAGGAAGGGGGAGGCCTTCCTCCCAGGATGGGGGGCAGATGCTGGCCACAAGGGTCAAGCATTCAAACAACCGGGTACAGCTGCCATCCACTAGGCCCATCAGGCCAGGGTGTGCATCCGGGAGGGCCTGAGGAAGAGGTACTCTTAAGGACCACACAGCTGCCATCCACTAGGCCCATCAGGCCAGGGTATGCATCCGGGAGGGCCTGCGGAAGAGGTACTCTTAAGGACCGCAGTAACTCTCCCAATGCCCTCCCCAACAGGCCACCTGCCATGCCCTTCCCAGCCCTCTCCCTTTCCCACCACAACCCCTCCCTGTTCTGCACAAGACCCCACCCTTTTTGAGAGCAGAGAACTGTCCCCCCGCCTTGCTCAGGGGGCAATCACTTTTGTCAGCCCCCCCTATGCACATGGTACTTTACAAACATTACAAATGGACTCTTAACAGAAAGACCCCCACCTCAGTAATATAAGGTCCTCGTTGTGCAATGCTTACTCACCTTCAATGGTATAGAGCAAATCACTCTACTACTGTGGAACTTCTTGTGTGAATACCCATTGAAAAGGCTGCTAGATAGAGGCCTTAGTCAGATGGCTAATAGACAAAGGAAGCTCGAGAAAGAGATCTAATTCAATTATTACAGCACAAAATAAAAATCAACAAGCATTTGTTAAAAATAGGCTGTCAGGTTTTAATTACAGCACAAAATAAAAATCAACAAGGATTTGTTAAAAGTAGGCTGTCAGGTTTTAGCTACACCTTGGCACTGGTCATAAAGGAAGGAGGTAAATGACATTCTCAGCCAGTGAGCATTAGAGTATTTTCAGGTTCTCACCCTTTTCTCTAGGCATTGAGCTTATCTCATTGGCTCATGACCAGCTCATGTGAATTCTCCTGTTTACCAGATGTCTGCCAGTGAGCTACCATGAGACAGTAATGCTCCATTCCACATGAAAGAATTGCTCCCAACCACTCTACTTGGTGCTTCGGCATCGGGTCACTCAGCTGCAATAAGTGCTTTTAGCAAGCAGAACTCTTCAACCATCTCTTCCTTTAATTAGCTCCAGGAATTTATTTCATTCACTCTTTTGCCTACTGATAAAATGTTTTCTAATTCTCAGCTCCAAGTTCCCAGGATATAACTCTCTTCCCCTTTGCTGTGCTGTAGCCACACAAATATAAACTAGCTAAGTGGCACCTTATGACAAGTCAATGAAAAGCTTCAAGCAAAAAGATCATAATTACTTATTCAAAAGTATTCATAAAATTAACATATCCTGAATAAATTCAAACTTCATTTAACAGGCCACTGCACTTATTATAAGCATTTAGAACATGCAATTGTTTAGACTTAGTCAAGAGCAACTTGCTCTTTCATAAGATATCAGGGTCAAAAGTAGATGAAGCAGCAGTTTGCCCTAACGAGGAAATGTCAAACCGTTTAGGGAGCTATCCAGCATTCTGGTTACATGTATAGGACTATGTAGCACTTTAAAGACTAACAAGATGGTTTATTAGATGATGTCATTTAAAGGCATTCAACAGAGCCTTTCCCAGGCCTTTAATTTATTGCACAGAATTCTAACTGCTCCTAAAATGCTGTTTTTTTTTTCACCCAAATACTTATCAAGAAGGAAAAAAAAATCCCGGTGGGAGAAATGATAAACTCTACTTCTGTTCACAAGCAAGATGACACCCTTTTGTGTTTCTAAATATTATAGTCTGATTTTTTGTATAGATAATATATCCACAACACCAAATGCATATAATTTCCATTGGGGACAGCCAACACCAGTTGCCCCAGGCATGGAGCTGGCTCTTGCATTAGAAAGGCAGCTTAAAGGGTCACCCAAAGCACAAAGCGATGCAAAAGCAATTAATAGAAGATGTACTATAATACAAATAATAAAGCCTAATTCACTTCCACTTCACCCATATGCTTCCTAGAGTAGCAGGCAGTGCACAGAAATCTTAGAACCATAGGGCTAAAAAGAGACCTCAGGAGGTCATCGAGGCAGCACCAAATTACAAGACAGTGTGTAGACAGGGCCATTTATGAAATTAGTTATTTTGAAATTGACTCGAAATAAGCTACGCAATTTATGTAACTCAAATTGCATAGCTTATTTCAAGCAATGAGTACAGTATAGACACAACCTCAGTAACCCATTCCAGTGCTTCACCACCCTCCTGGTAAAATATTTTTTCCTAATATCCAATCTAGATCTTTCACACTGCAACTTGAGACCATTGCTCCTTATTCTGCCACCCATCACAACAGAGAACAGCCTCTCTCCTTCCCCTTTGAAACCTCCCTTCAGGTAGTTGAAGGCTGCTATCAAAATCCCCCTCACTCTTTTCTTCTGTAGACTAAATAAGCCCAAATCGCCCAGCCTCACCTTGTAAGTCATGTGCTCCAGCCCCCTAATCATTTTGGTTGCCCTTCGCTGGACTCTTTCCAATGTGCCCACATTCTTTCTGTAATGGGGGCCCAGAACTGGACACAATACTCCAGATGTGGCCTCACCAGTGCCAAATAAAGGAAAACAATCACTTCCTTAGATATGCTGGCACTGTTCCTACTAAAGCACCAATATGGCAATATCCTCTTGGCTACAAGGGCACACTGTTGACTCATATCCAGCTTCTCATCCCCTGTAATCCCCAGGTCCTTTTCTGCAGAACTGCTGCTTAGCCAGTTGGTCCCCAGCCTGTAACAATGTTTGGGATTCTTCCGTCCCAAGTGCAGGACTTTGCTCTTGTCTTTGTTGAACCTCATCAGATTTCTTTTAGCCCAATCCTCCAATTTGTCTAGGTCAATCTGGACCCTATCCCTACTCTCCAACGTATCTACCTCTCCCCCTATCTTAGTGTCATCTGCAAACTTGCTGAGGGTGCAATCCATCCCCTCATCCAGGCCATTAATAAAGATGTTGAACAAAACTGGCCCTAGAACTGATCCTTGGGGTACTCTGCTAGAAACCGACTGCCAACCTGACATTGAGCCATTGATCACTGCCCCCAGAGCCCAATGATTTAGCCAGATTTCTATCCACTTTATAGTCCATTTATACTTTTTTAAATTTCCGGCAAGCATACTATGAGAGACCGTGTCAAAATCTTTGTTAAAAAACAAGTATATTGCATCCACCACCTTCCCCAAGTCCACAGAGCCAGTTATCTCATCACAGAAGCTAATCAGGTTAGTTAGGCATGACTTTCCCTTGGTGAATCCATGTTGACTATTCCTGAACACTTTCCCCTCTTCCAGGTGCTTCAAAATGGATTCCTTGAGGACCCCTCTCCCCCCATGATTTTTCGGGGGACTGAGGTAAGGCTGACTGGTCTGTGGTTCCCTGGACTGTCCTTCTCTTTTTTAAAGATGGGCACTGCATTTGCCTTTCTCCAATCATCCGGGACCTCTCCTGTAATTTCACAAGTTTTCAAAGATAATGGCCAAAGGCTCTGCAATAACATTTGCCAACTCCCTCAGTACTTTCGGATGCATTAAATCCGGACCCATGGATTTGTGTATGTCTAGCTTTTCTAAATAGTTCTTAACCTGTTCTTTCTCCACCAATGGCTGCCCACCTCCTCCCCATACTGCTCTGCCAAGTGCAGCAGTATGGGAACTGACCTTGTCTGCAAGGACAGGGGCAAAAAAAAGCGCTGGCTACGTCTAGATTGAATCCCTTTTTCGTAAAAGGGATGCAAATTAGACGTATCGCAATTGCTACTGAAGCGGGAATTTAAATCTCCCTCGCTTCATTTGCATAAAAATGGCTGCCGCGTTTTTTCGGCACGGAGCTTTGCCGGAAAAAAGCGCCAGTCTAGACGCGGATCTTTTGGAAAATAAAGCCTTTTCTGAAAGATCCCTTATCCCTTCTGAAGGTATACGCACACCCATACTGTATTTGTCACAATGTCTCTGTGTCACATACACACACAGTCTCTCTCTCTCTCTCTCTCTCACACACAGACACACAGTATCACATACCCACACCCACAGTCTGTGAAATCCCTAGTCTCTGCCACACACATACACAATCTCTGAGCCACATACACAGTCTGTCACACACTATCTCTCTGCCCTCACACATAGTCACTGTACACACACACACGATTGCCATGCATGCTCTCCAAGTTTCTGTGCCATACAGTCACACACACACAATCTGTGTCAAAGTCTTCTCGTCACATACATACACATACACAGTCTCTCTCTCTCTCTCTCTCTCTCTCTCGTCTCCAGCTCCATTGCTTCCACCTAAGGTCCCATCCTTTCTGGGGTCTAGTTGGCCCCTGACGACTTTCCAAAATTCATGGAGTGGCCCCTTGCAAAAATTATTGCCCAATCCTGGTTAAAATGGTAGTTCCCACTGACCTATCTTGTGCATATGTAGTGTAAGAGCTATCCCCACATGCCATGGATTGCGACAGAGTGGCAGTCCCTCCACTCAAAACAGCACAGAGATTGTTCCCACAGGGTGCCCCAAAGGGGCATAGAGGGGTAGAGAGTAAGCTGAGCCATGGCTCTATGGGAGCATGCGGCATCTCTGAAAAGGGGTAGTAGTTTGTGGGCTACCCTTACACAGTGGGGAGCTATGGAAGCCAGGCACAGCACCTCCAGTGCTTCCCAGAGTCAGCAGGCCACTTCACTGCCCCAAATATGGGGCTGTGCGCAATTAGCTCATACCTACCATAGAGATCTTGTTGGGCTTTCAATCAAAAATACTTAACAAAACAGTGGTGAGTTATGCCTAATACTTTTAATAACTGGTCAAACTATACAAATTTGTAACTACAAAACACAAAACAGACAGAAAAGTGATGGCATAAGAGTCAAAAGGAGCAAAACAAAAGCTAAACACACCTAATAGCAGATAGGGATTCTGATATGCCTCACTTGGTCACATACAATGGTGAATTAGTAACAGTACACACAGATATTAATTATGCAGGATTTCTCACAACAGCTGCTTCCAAATCCTCCACTCCATCCTAGATGACAAGTCAATTGGTGTTCTTCATTCTCTTACATAAATTCTTGTGCACACAACATCATCCGCACCGAAAGTCTTGAAAAGAAATACAAATCAATCAGCAGAAAGGCAATAAGCAAAAATTACATACAATTTTAAGAGTATATTAATTTGACAATAGAGATAAATAGCCCAGAACCTCATAATTTTTCTGCAGTTTCTTGGCATGCATTTGTGATTGGCAAGAGACTTTGGACTGTAATAGACTTTTATATTTGAAAACAGTCCCAATCTTTAAATGACTTAGTCTGAAATAAGGGTCCTTAGGCTGGGATTCAGATTAGCTTGTACAAGAATAACTGCTTAAATGCTCAGTTTCTCAGCTGGTTCAAATCAGTGCAGCTCCAGGGAGGTCAATGGAATAATGCTGATTTATACCAGCTGAAGATCCAGTCCATATATATTACATATATAAAACCTGTGAATGTAAGATGCTGACAGAATAGACATGAAATCCTCTTTTTCCAAGTATCCCCGCACTGCTTTGACAAGGGATGTTAAATATCACTTAATTGAATAGTCGATTAACCTCATGAATTCTTATTGGTTTCTCGACTATTCTATAGTCCCGGTGGAGATGGGGCGGGCTGGCAGCCAGTGTGATCTGGCCCCACTCCCGAGGAGCTCCCTGCCACTCTGTGCTGCTGCCTTTGTATCAGAGGCAGAAGCATGGGGGCCAGGCAGGAGCTGGTCCGCAAGGGGAGCCAGTTTAAAAAACAGCCCCCCTCACAGACCAGCTGCCTGTTGCCCTGTGCTGTTGCCTCTCACGTAGCTGCAGTTGCGTATTTTAATTCGACTTTTTGCCCTGCTATGTAGACATGCCCTTGGTAACCTGAACTGGGAGATTTTTCAGGCCTACATATAGCAAGTTATGGGGTAGGTTCTTCAGGAGGTTTAAACTGACTTAGCTCCATTGAAGCTAACCAATTAGGCTCAGATCAAGGGCTATGAAGATTTAGCTGTGGTTTACTTTCAAAATACAAATAAATTTCCAATGCTTTTTTTGGCCGGTCATCAGTTTAAGACTGTACAGCCTAAAAGCTGGAAGTGCTTTTATTCTGTAGTCTTCGATGAGGAGGAAGACCATTTAATAGGTTTTTGGAAGGGGAAGTAGAGGGTTAGCAAGGAGGGAAAAACGTTTTCGTCTGTATAAATAGCTTCTCATATAAACCTTTATACCCTTTAAAAAACCTAAATGTCTGGAGATGAACAGTTAAAGGATCCAGTTTCCCACTGCCATATAATTCCAGAATCACTCATTCATACACCAAAAGATTTACCCCACCTTAGAATGGCTTCCTGATAACATTTGCAAAAATATACATATATGCCAAGTAACTTCAGTGGGAGCTATGCTAAAAAAAGGAGTGTCGGAATGGTGCCCCCAAAGGGCTTTATAGCTGCGATGGTTCAAGAAATTTTATTTTGATTATAATAATATTGAGGAAGCAACTTTATTGTGTTTGTACAGTGCCAACACAATAGGCCTCTAGGTGCTTCTATAATACAAATAATGCTCATAGAAATTAAAAACAATAAAGCAAACTCTGTGCACAGATTCCTGCAAGAGTTAGGGGACAAAAATAGTATAGACTTCTTCCCCAGCTACACATGCAAAGAGATCAAACACATGTTTGCACAGAATTTACAAGACTCATTGCCAATAGTCACCTATCAAGTGCCATTGAGATAACACTTTTCAAATAAATTATTCCTTCTCTGAAGAGCCAGACTAGATGATGTGGCTTCATAGATGCTATAGGAGTGTATTGCATTTTTTAGCTTTGATCTTTTATATTTTACAGGTAAAAATCATATTTTTAAAACTTAGGTGCCTAAAGTTAGCCACCTAAATAATAGGCCTGATTTCCAGCCCCATTAAAAGTAGAGCTACTTATTTAGGGCAAGTCTACACTAAAAAATTATTTCAAAATAACTTATTTTGAAATAATAACTCCCAAAATAACTATTTCAAAATAGTGTGTTCACACTACAGGGAAGCCTTGAAATTAATCCAAGTCAGGCTCCCAGAATGTGAACGCACTACCTTGACTCAAAGCCCCAGGAAGCTTTGGGGAGTAATTACTTTGAATGACTCTGGGGAGTAGTTATTTCAAAATAGCAGCAGTGGAGCATCCACACTACTGCTATTTTGATATAATTATTTTGAAATAAGCATTATTCCTTTTGGGAAGCAGGGGTTATTATTTCAAAATAACCAGCCCATTATTTCAAAATTTGGTACTGTGGACACTCCACCTGTTATTTTGAAATAACTCCCTAGTGCAGACCACGGCTTAGATATGGCTTTAAATTGTTAACTCACATGTTGGAAAATTTTGAAAAGCCTGCACTAAAACAGTAGCATTATTACTGAAATGTCACTAAAACATATTGTTGAGCAGAGGAACTTGGAAGGACATACTTGCTGCACTCCCTTTCTTTGAAGTTACTCATGACTTTGCTTCACAGGCCTGCTGTAGTGATGAGGCTGCTTGGACCATTGCTTGCTGCAGGCCTGGATTACTGGCAGAATGGGTCGTACTCTGCAGTTTCACCTGGGACCTGATCCAGTGCATTTCAGAGTCAATTAATGGGCTCCCATTGACATCAGTGGACAATAGCTCATGTCCCCAGTACTTTAATCAAGAGACGTCTGCATGTAAACCAGTTTTTACATAGACTCCTAGGTTGGAAGGGACCACTATGCTCATTTAGTCTGACCTCCTGCATAACGTGGGCTGTGCAACTTCACCAGCACAATTCCTATTTAAACTAGAGCAAATCTTTTATAAAACATCCCTTTTTGATTTTTAAACTGCAAGAGATGGAGATTCCACCCCAGTCATTCATAGATCAACTACAGTGACCTTATTTCCCTATGCTAAACATGGGACACCTGGTAAAACTACTCCTAGTCAAGTGTGTTCAATAGCAATCAAACAAACCTATACAGTACAACCATTCACATTAACGAGGAGTTGACTGAGCCCCTGTTAAAAAGAAATATTGAATAGCTGGGCTCCTTTTATTTATGTTCTTACCTTTAAAGCTTTAGGGCTCATGCAGAGAGACATGACACACATACACTCTGAGCCTCTCACATGGGGGGAGGGTTGACCCGCCCTGCTCAAAACTCTCTGTTCACCATGGCTGGCTGGGTCCCTGGGTGGGATCTGCCTCTCCTGGCCCTGGTGCTGTGTCTTCCCAAGAAAACACATGGGAAGGCACACACAGCTCACATGCCCCCCAGTAGCAGCCTTTCAGCACTGTGCAGGAGGGAAGAGATAGGAGTTGCTTCCCGCTGCAGGGGAAGGAAAGGGATGACCTGGCCTCTGTCTGCAGAGCTTCTCTTTTCCCCTCCTCCTCTGTGTGGCTAGAAGCAGCTTGTCCTTTCCTTCCCGTGCAGCGTCAAAAGGCAGCTCACACCTCCAGGCTACTGCTGGCCACTGCCATAACTCAGTTGCCTCCAGCTACAGTGCACGTAGGAAGGGGTTAAACCCTACAGATGCATTGTGCACCAGGGCTCAGGGAACCCAACCAGAGAGATGGCTCAGCTGGGGACAGAGCAACCTGAGCAGGACCAAGGGCAGATGGGTGTTTGGCTTTGGGTTTTTTTAAGATTGAAGCCTTGGAAGGTTTTCAAATACTTTTTAATAAAAAATGATGTAAAGGGTTAAATTGGATGTGTAAACAAAAAGGGAAACGAGAGGGGAACTTGTCAAAGTTCAGATTTCTTACCTTGAGAATATCGAAGTCTGGCCCTGTCTATGTATTCTAATTTAATTTACACCAGAGCACCATTCACTGGAGTTATTCTGTATTTATACCAGTATAATCAGGATTAGAGTGTGACCCAACATATGTGTTTCATATGCAGATCTAAAAATGTAGGTCTTTCCCCCTTACTCTCAAATTGTGATTCTATTGTTTTGTTTTGTTTTGTTTTTTTGCTGCTGTTGGACTTTTTCTGTGACATTAATGAGCTGTCAATCACTCATGCAAATTAGGTAAAACAAAAGGTCTGCAGTGACCCAGAATTAGAGGATGCTGCTTTCAAATGTTTGCTGTTCAAATTAGATTGATTTATCTTCTGTATTTTGGATGCTGCTTCCTTCATGACTGCTCAGCCCCTTATAATGTTTACTATGTTTTATACTGTGAATACTACATAATAGATGATTTCTGAAGCATGACTCTAAAAAACAGCGTCAGACTACATTTTGCACAGTTCACATGTCACACAGGGATTCTCAGAATCAATTATAGCAAGGGTCAGAGATCAGAAGTTGGTGGGGGTCTGAAGCATGGTTTCCATTCCCCTTCCTCTCCCTGGAAAAACCACGCCATAGTTGATGGAACTGGTGAACTGTGCAGCATAGATGAATGACTGAACATTTTTTAAATGATATTTCTGGATTCTGAAATGAAACACGGCAGGTCCAACACAGATTGGGGAGGGAGAGAGACTGCACAGCTGAGTGCCAAAGTGGGGTTTGAACAGAATCAAACCACTTAAAGGTTTAATGCTTCCTTTTTTTTTAAAAAGTACTCAAGTAGAGGATCGGCTCCCCAGTGCTTAATTTTTGCAGGGCCGTGCCAGGGCTGAGCCCCAGAACCTCTAGGCTTGGCTGTTCATAGTTCCAGCAACTCTGGGCTTGCTGCATTAGTAATGAGAGTAAAAAAGATTGCTTGAGCCCCAGCACCTCTTTAATTACAAATTAAGCATTGCTGCTCCCACTAAAGTCAATGGCAGTTTTCCTATGGCTTCAATGAAAGCAAGATCAAGCCCAGAATCCAGTATCTATACAAGTTTAAGTACTAGAGACACCTAAAGCATTATTTGAATATGCATCCAGTTGCAATACCATTTGTAATACAGATGACTGACTGATACATAATTTAGTAATACAAGTTAGGAGATAAAATTGGCCATTGGCTAGACCATTGGACTGCAAGCCAGGAGACCTGGCTTCTATTTTTCCCTTTGTCACTTCCTGTGTGACATTGGACAAGTTGCACAGTCAACAATTTTC